TCAGTGGGGTTTTAAATTTCCCACATATCTTTTTTAATCTGTTTCATGCATTCTAAATATCTCTTATATTGTTCATTCATCGTTTTCCTCATTTTTCTATGCTCTTCTGTTTTTATATTTAAATCTTCTTTAGAGATGCTTAACAATTTGTTTATTATATTTTCATTTTTTTATTTACTTGAAATAGTATTTCTTTTCTAAATTATTTCATAGCTTTAAGTATTTGTCTTTTCTATTGCCATCACTTCATAAACTTCAGGTGTGCAACTCCCAATTTCTTCCATGTTTTCTTTCATCTCCTGGACTTTCTCTACTTTGGTTAGAGATCAGGGACTACCTTTTGCCTCTTCTTCTTGACATTTTCTTGGGTCCTTCCAAACAAGAGGGCAATGGGGTTCCTGGTGCTTCCTGCATTTCTGCAGTGCATGACTGCTTCTCCTGGGTTTTTCAGGCCAGTTCTGGTGATGGGTATCCGATGGTGACCACTGGGTGCCCTGTTGCAGGGCTGGGTGCCATGTTTCCCAACCTGTGCTGGCTACCTTGGGCAGAGTCATCCAGAGGGCTGATGGAGTATTTGCCGGAAGAGGGTTGGCTGCTGCCTTCCAACCCAAGCTGTTTTCTGGTGGATAGTGTTTTCCAATGGGTGCTGGATTATGTGAGCTGACAGGGCATGTCTCTGCCTCCCACCAACCTGGTTACCTTTGGGCAGTCTCAAATATTTACTTAACTTTTATGAAGTAACTTCTTTCCTTTTAACTGTGGTTAGTTCTGAAATAGAAACAAGATATTAGAAGTGATCTAATCTTCCAAAGCCAAACTATCATAGCATATAGTGCTTACAACTTTAGATTTTATTCTGCAGTTTAGATGCCTCTATATTTTCTTTCATAATGTCAAATTTGTTCCATTTGAGATGTGACTTCATTCAAGACAATGATCTTCAAGTTTAGCCACATGCTTGCAAATGGCAGCACCCTTCAATGTCTCAACATCTCTACTGTGGGGTCTTTCCACATGTGGCAGTGCTTCCCACAGAAACATCTTCTCATCCACTTGACTTCTGCTTCAGCATCACATTTAAAAAATACCTCTACAACTACCTTCTGCACCAAGTGTCTCAGTTCTGCTATCCGTGCAAGGACTTGTCATTTTAGGAGTTATTGTGGAATGCAATTTTTTGTCATTCTTCTTTTTATTTTGTGATTCTATAAAAACAGGGCAGGTAGAACTTTGTTTTGATATATTGGTTTTTATAACCAGATAATTTCTAAATAACAACATAGAGCTTGAAGCAAAATGCATGTTTGTATTAGTCACATTTCTGTCAATGGTATAAAATACCATTTATATATACCATATATTTAGTCATCAACTAGCACTGGAACAAAATACCTGACAGTCATAATTTAAAGAAGGAACTCATTTTGACTTGGAGTTTCAGTACATTGCTGCCTGGTTCCAAGGCTCAGACTTCATGGCAGAAAATGTAGCACAGGGAATCTGCTCAACTCATAGCAGCTGAAAGAAGGCTAGGGCTCTCTATGTCATGTCCCTGTCACTGACCATTACACACGAGAGAGGGAGCTTCTCTAACTCCAAGGCATCTCTCAAGGCAATTATGTTGAAAATCAAGATTAACAGCAGTGCTACTGAATTGAACAAAAAGAACAAGTAGATTAACAAATGTGTAATACACTTAAATAAATGTTTTAAACATATATTAAACCCCACATTAAGATACAGAAAAACAATTATTAGAAAACACAGAAAATAATTTGTTCTGGAAAAATGGGGAAATATGTGATGATTTCACCCTCACAGGCTCCATATACCTGGGAAATTATATTTTTTTGTGGCAATGTTTCTGAAAGAATGTTTTCCCTTGTTACATTTTCCCTAATTCTAGCTCTGTAATAGATCTAATTGACATAGCCACTTCTTGTTTTTCTAAAACTTTGTTGAAAACCTTATTGAATTTAATTAAGCAGCAATCAGTCTTGGACATGTTCCAGTTGTAGGATATCATAACTGATGTCATTAAAGTATGTAACTTTTTCAGTGATCTTTGACCTTATAAATTAGATGATATCCCCTTAATAACTAATACTTTAGAAGAGGTTTATGAGACTACAAGAATAATCAAAAATGGCACAAGATTGCCTTTTCCAAATGTCAAGGATACTTTTCTGGCTATATCAAAATAACAAAAGTGATAGGCTAAATAGTTGTGTGCTAGCTATTATTTATTACAGTTAATAGAAAATAATTCAGAAAACTTCCCTTGTTAGAAAATCCAGTTGCTATCTGATTCTGTGGAAATACATTTTGTTTGCAATTTTGATAAATTATTCTAATGTGAAATTTTTATGTTTTTGTTTGCATTGTGAAATTCCTTAGAAGTATATTAATGGTAAAAGTAATCATTTTCTGTAATATTTAGAAGACTAAACAGATGTGACTGGATGATTTAGACTATATCCCCAAGGAATGATATGGGCTTTTTCCTTCTATGTGCAAATTAAATTGAAAGGAATTTCCAGCTCTTTATGAGCAAGCAAAAATAGTCTTCTTTCACAATCGTTAATAGGCTTTCGTGACTGGTTGCACATAGAGGGATTTGCTTTAGGTGAGTTCATTAAAAATTGTATCAATATAGTTTATAAGAGTTAAAATGTTGAGAAACTCATTGGAAGAAAGTAAGTTACTCTTCAAGTTGTATGGGATAACTTTCATGAATATATTTTTTAAAAATTTAAATATTACATTGCAAACTTTTTATGTTTTCAAGTGTTATATCTTCAGTGGAAAAGGCAGACTCCTGGTCTAAAAGAAATTATTCGATTGTCACTGATTTTTCTATCCTTTGACTCCAGACTTCTGGGGCGGACCCTAAGCCTGTGTAAGTTACAATGATTTTCTGGTTTAATAATTAAATAGGTAGGTGAGCACACCATGAATCTTGGTGTAATGTTTGGCAGAATTTCAGAGATTGGGATATTTGCTTATGGTCTTTATTATAAGTATCTAAAAATGGAAATACGGTTATGAAAATGCATTTTGAATATGTGAAAGGTGACAATTGGCCTCAGTATATGAGCATGCTAAATTGCAAGAGATGAATTTGGGCAGCATTTTCTGGAATCCAGTAATGTAATAGCTTGTAAGCCAAGCAGAATGAACAATCTATACTGTACATGATATAAAAATCTCCTGAATTTCCTTTCCTGTGAGAAGGAAGTTAGTGAACTAATTGTATCAGATTAAAAGGGCTCATATTTTTTGCTTCAGAAAAAGTTTTTTGGAAGCAAAAATACAATCATATCATTCTGACAGGAGGCATCTGTGGCAGACTGCAATGTTGCAAGGGTTGCAATGGTGTATGAAGAATTGTGATACATTTTGAAAAGCGTGGCAATGTGACAAATTAATGTGTCAATAAGAATCAGGAAGGGAATAAAGGAATGAGGGACATTGATAGAATATGGCCTGAAAAATAATCTCGAAGGAGTGATAGTTTCATTAATTAGGGAAAATCTAGGTAGGATTAAGCATTGTAAAAAATTAAAAGATTACTTTCATAAATGCTAAATTAATACCTAATTGGAGAAGTTGACAGAATAGGTACAGATACACTAAGAGGTAGGAGTGAACACACAAGTGCTCAAAGTGCTTTAAGAAAGTACAGGTTAAGAAAAAGCGTAAGTTCCAAATAAAGAAATCAACAGAGAAGTTTCAGTGACTTGGTAGGCTTTTGAGACTCTGATAATATTCGCATAGTGTGTCATATGAAATAGCTACAATTTTACTGTGTTTCTCTGCTTCTGCTCAACTTTACATATTGAGGTACTAACTTCCGGTATTTCAGAATGTGACTTTATTTGAAGTTAGAGTCTTTCCAGAGGTAATCAAGTTAAAACTTATGAAGATGGTCACAATCCAATATGACCAGTATGATTCGTGCCCTGAACGCAGGACAAATTGGGAGACAGGGGCCTGATACCAAGTTGTTCATCTAAAAATCAAGTAGAGAAGCCTGGTACAGCTCCTTTCCATGACCTTCTGAACGAGGCTGCAATTTTGGTACCTTGATTTTGAATTTCTTAGACATTAAATGTCTGTTGTTTAAACCACCTATTTTGTGTAAATCTGTTCTGACAAATAAATGAAGCTTTTTTTACACTTAAGTGTGGCATTGCTACAGTAAGTAATTATAGAAACAATTCTGAGATTGAGCAATGTGTAAACACAGGAAGGGCTTATGGATGCCTGGTCAAAGGGCTTAAATTGCCTTGAAGAAAGTAATTGTTCATAAAAATATGGATGTTGACAGACAATTCAGTTAAAAGCTCAGAAAAGCAAGATGAAAGCTATTGAGAAGGCAAATACTGCCTCAGAAAATACTCATGTTGCCATGAACAGAAACCACAAGGTTGTGGTTGTGGTCTCAAATGTACATGCAGAACGTGTTACTGGAAAATAGAAGACAATCACTGTTTTAGAGAAGCATCATTAACTAATATAATGGGATTTGGCCTATGGATTTACATTTATACTATATTCTAGCACTAATGAATATATGTAAATGTTGCTTCAAGTGGGACTTTATCAACATACCTTTGTGAGTTTTTATGGGTCACATATTTGCATTAAATTCCCTTTCATTCTTCTGTGGTTCTCATTTATCTTTTAAGTTCATCTAAAGCATAATTTGCTCTGAAAAGCCTTCCCAGATCTCTGTGGATTTAGAAATTCTAAAACTTTGAATTGTTCTTTAACTATTCAAGCTAGTCTTTAATTGTCTAGGCACATCATTTTGTATCAAATCACTAAAGGCAAGGGACTGTCTTACTCTGCCCAGATCTTATTAGAATGAAGCTTACAGGTGACTAATACTTTTTAGTTCATGAAAAATAACAGTTAAGATTATAACATTTTAATTATTTTTCATTGTTTTCTGGGTAAACAGCTTTCAATGCCTGACACCAGGAAGAATACCTGACATGGAACCAAGGAATAATGTGACTCACTTTGTCCTCTTGGGTCTCACACAGAATCCAAGGGAGCAGAAAGTACTTTTTGTTATGTTTTTGCTCTTCTATGTTTTGACCATGGTAGGAAATCTGCTCATTCTCATGACTGTAACTATGAGTAAGACCCTGAACTCACCAATGTACTTCTTTCTTGCTAACTTATCATTTATGGATGCCATTTATTCATCAGTGATTTCCCCCAAGTTAATTGCAGACTTATTCTTTGGGAAAACTATCATATCTTTCAAGTTTTGTATGATTCAGCTCTTCACAGAACACTTCTTTGGTGGATCAGAGGTCTTCCTCCTGCTGGCGATGGCCTATGATCGCTATGTGGCCATCTGTAAACCCTTGCATTATTTGATTCACATGACGCAATGTGTGTGTGTTATGTTGCTCGTAGTGTCCTGGATTGGAGGTTTTATACACTCAGTAATTCAACTCTGCACTGTTTATGGGCTTCCATTCTGTGGCCCCAATGTCATTGACCATTTTATGTGTGACATGTACCCCTTATTGAAACTTGTCTGTATTGATACCTATGTCATCGGCCTCTTAGTGGGGGCCAATGGAGGACTGATTTGCTCAACCTTGTTTGTGCTCTTGCTTATCTCATATGGTGTTATCTTGCATTCTCTGAAGAACCATAGTCAGGAAGGGAGGCGGAAAGCTCTCTCCACTTGTGGCTCTCACATCACTGTTGTTGTGTTGTTCTTTATTCCCTGTATTTTCATGTATGCAAGACCAGCTAGGACTTTCACCATAGACAAATCACTGAGTGTGTTTTACACAGTCATAACTCCAATGTTGAACCCATTAGTTTACACTCTGAGAAACTCAGAGATGACAAATGCTATGAAAAAACTCTGGAGAAAAAAGGTCATATCAGATATGTGATCCCCACTGTGAGGAGCTTCATTTGACTAATGCTGTGTCATTAGGATCACAGCCTTGTGAAATCTCAGGCAAATTTCTCTTCTAACTAAGATTTTCTGATATGTATAATTAATGCATTTTTTTGCTTATGCCTTTAGTGTATTTCTGATATGTGGCAAGTCTCATCTTTATACTTAGTAAGTTGTAATGCACATGTAATAAGGTTCAATAAGTTATATATAATAAATTTATGAATTATATTTTGTAGTATTTTACTGATTTTTAATTTTGTTTTTATTTTTTATATGTTAAACTTTCACTTGTTGTTTTCATTATAGCAGTAAAATATTTAAATCCTGTGCAGATTCCTCACTATTTAATTTTATTTGCATTACATACAAAATGTTGAACACACCAGGTTTACATTGAAAAGCATAATACATAATATTGTTAAAAGTAGAACCCAAATAAACGTAAAAAAGCAGACTAAATCTCCCAATCACTCTCCAGAGTTTCCTAGTGCTGCTGTCAGACACAAGTACTATACTGTGGTTCTAAGATTCTTCAATAAAGAAATATCATTTGTAAGGAGGATGAGCTTGAAGGAAGTTATGCTAAGCTAATACTGAATACAAAGTCAAATACTGCAATGTAAAGTTAACAATAATCTATTGTATGCTTGCATTTTGATAAGAAGAAAGATATTAAAAGTTCTTAACACTAGAAGTTAATAAAAAATTTTAATGATTGGCTGTGTTATTAGCTTAATTATGGTTAACACTGTAATATATTTCTGTATTTAAATCTCTTTCTATGTATATATATATATATATATATATATATATATATATATATATGATGCATCCAAATATACATGAATCCAAATGTGTGTGTGTGTGTGTGTGTGTATATATATATATATATATATATATATATGTACATATAATGCTGTAAATACTGAAGCCACACACTGGAAGAAAGAATTGTTTGATTTTTTTGTATTTGTGCATTATGTATGAAGACAACTATAAAGTGAAAAATTTAAAAAAAAAATAAAACTGATAACTTTAAAATATGAGTAACATTCAGTGTAATTTAATATTTCTTTCAACAATTTTTGCCTATTAAGCATATCCCAAGCTGGATTTATAGTTAATATATTTCAACTTTATTTAGGCTCTCGATTTTACTTTGTAGTGTATCTTCATTTTTATGAAGGTTATATTAGTGTTGGTTTGTTTTCAAATGTAAGCACTATATATTTTTCTCTGGTGTTCCAGGTATATACTCATGTCATTTTCATTGTATCTGTATTTCTTTTTTCTGAGTTATAACACTGCTAATTTATTTTTGTTATTGAATTACATTAACTGGTATATCAACTATAATATAAAATCATGATTTACAATACCTGAAATTTATTCATGCTGTCTTCTGTAGGTACATTTTTAAAAATCTATAAGATAGTATATTTTTAAAATTATATTTTAGTAGTTCTTTAGATATTTACATGATTTTTTCTTATATACTAATGTCAATTATGCAATAATATTTTTAGTTGTTTCATCTCTGCATTTGTAATACAGAATTTACTAGTGCCACATGTTATCAGTTGTTTTCCTATACTGTTGAATTTTGTTGGTTCTCTTAAAAGCATTTCTGCATTTAACTTTTTATTGTCGTATTGGGGGCAGAACATTCATTTTTAGTTTTGAAATTTTGAGACAGGATATCACATTACGATGCTAAGTTGTCCAGGCTGGGCTTGAACTACAATCTTTTTGCATTAGCCTCCCTAGGCTCGGAGAATATAGGTAGGTATCACCAAAATTGGGTTGCATTAATTTTCCGGACTTAAATGAATCTATAATTTTTATATCTGCAACATTTTGGGTCATTTTATACATAGTGACTTAACTTAGCATCTATAAAGAAATGTAGCCCTGCATAAGTTCTTATGCTCTTATCACAGTTAGTGCTTCTGTCTAGCTAACATGCCATATATTTTAAAAAATTTCTTTAGTGTCAGTTTTCTCTTTAGAATATAAGCTTATTGTTAGGTCCTCAGGATATAAAACAGTGCAAAGCACAATGGATCATTTATTAAATGAATATATTATTAAGAGAATTAATTTTACTGTTGAAAATAATGTAGTTTATGCAACCTTTTAAGTGGCATTGGCATCACATTTTCTCTGAAACTTTGTGTGGAACAATCTTGGTCAGCATTTATAAAATTCTTATCATTGTCAGGGATTGTTCTTAACGTGTTACGTGTGTTTTCTCATTTGTTCCTCAGAATGACACCTAGAGTGAGGTGCTGTTACTGAAACCAACTTACATTTATGCAAATACTCATGCAGGTTAAAACTTTGTGCAAGGTCCTCACGCAGAGAACGATCAATGTCAGACCCCAAATTTTAGATGTGTGCCCTGAGCTCACGTATGGTGAGAGCTGTTACCAGGTGATGATGTCAGGCACTTTACATTTTTAGGAACTGAGTAAATTGCATCCATTGATTCTTTTTGATGTCTTTTTTACATTTATTTTGTTATTGGAATACATTTCAAAATTGACATAATCTCAAACTCAAGTAAAACTTGTAAGGATTTCTGGGTACCCTTCACTTGGCTGTTCCAAATATTCATAACTGTTTAATGTAGCTCTTTTCTTCTTTCGTTCTGTGTGCTTTAACACTGAATTTGCTATATCATTACAGACATATGTAAATATCATTTCTTTGCCTCCATTTCTCTCTCATATATATGACATTTACATTTTTCTGAAAGATTTAGAGGATGTTAGACGTATATTCATAACACTTTAATCCTGATACTTCATTAAATGAAAACCTAAACTTCCAAATATTTCCAAAAACCAGGAAATTTTATTGCATAATCCAAGAACAATGAATGAAATTAAGAAATTAATGCTGAGATAATATTATTATAAAGGCATTTTTCAAATATAATGATGATTTCATTTTTGTAACAAAAGAAAATCCAAGGTAACAATTTTGTTATCATATGCATGACACTGATTCCTGTAACATGAAACTATTCCTCAATCTGTCTTTGTATTTTCTGACATTGGCATTTGTGAAGAACAGAGGACACTTATTTTGTAGAGTGTGCAATGTATACCTTTTTTATTTTGTCTGCTATTGTTTTATGTTTAGATCCATTTTATGCCTTTAGCTGGAGCATTTGCAACATATCCTGAAGTCTTCTAGCTATCACTTCAGGAGGGAGTTGTGGTCATTTGCAAAGTTACATTTAATTATTTCATTTAATGGTATCCCCTGTGCTTTCTTCATTGTATCACACAGAGCTGCTTCTTATCATCAGAAATAAATCAGATAGTTACTTTTTTGAGATCTTCTGCTACTGGAAATCTATCTTACTTTCTCTTCTTTCTGAGTCACAGAACTTATAAGAAAAGTTCTCAACTTTTGAGGGGGAAGCTCTTTTGCATTGTTTGGTAGTTTTGTCACTGAGCAAGAGCTCTTTGCTTGGTGTCCATGGAATTTAATGATATTCCGTTAAAATTTTGCTTTTAAAAATTTTTGTTGGCCTGGATGATTGGGGCGAGCTCAAATCTCCCTGTTTGACTGGCAGCAACACAAAATTCAGGAAGGGAGAGGAAAGAAATTGTTTAATGCTTGGATGGTGAGAAGGTAGAGTTTTAGAATTTTTTATATCTATTTTATTTCAAAGAACAAAAACAGAAAAAGCAAAAAGCAATAAAAATAGCAACATTGGCAAAAGCAAAATGACTACAATAACAAGCAAGAGTGATATAGAATTTCAAACCATGATGATATTAATTTCACAACTGTGTTGCATACTGTTATCTTCAAAATAGTTGCTCAGGTTATCAGACACAACCATGGAAACTTGATCAAACAATATAATTTCCTTTTGAGTAGTTTCTTTGCCTTTTACTATATTTATTTTTTATTTTCTGTTTGCTTTCTTTACTTTTTTTAATCTTTTTGGGGCAAGGGCTCATTATGCAGTTCAGGCTGACTTTGAGTTCACTTTGTAGCCCAGGCTAATCTCAAACTTGCATCAATTATCCTACATCAGTCTCTCAAGTGTTTGGATTAGAGGAATGCACAACCACAGCTGAATATTTTAACTCTGAATCTTACTTACCATTTCAACCTCTTATACTATAAAGAAAATACGGTGTTTACACATGCAAGTCTGATTTATTTCATATATGCATGTGATTTTTACTTGCATCAAATTATCTATAAATGTCTGAAGTTTTCCCTCTTTGTAGCTGAGTAGTACTCTATTCTTTAAAAATACCATCTTGTTTAATTAATTCCCAAATTGATGGACATTTGTGTTGCTTTCAAGATGTGGCTATTACAAATTGTGCATCTATAAGCATGGATGCTCATATATCACTGTGACAGTGGTGCTGGAAAAAATGGCTTTCAATATGCTTAAGACATACTAGACCCATGTCTACCACCATACACTAAAATAAAATCAAACTGAATTAAAGATCTTAATATTAATACTGAAACACTAAGTCTACTGGAAGAAATCTCAAGGACATAATGGTATATAGAGAGTTCATGAGCAAAAACCAAACTGCATAAGAAGTACTACACAGAATCAACAACTGGGATCTCATCTTCTTAAAAAGTTTCTTGTACATCAAAAAAAAATCAGCAACAAAATGAAAAGAAAACCCATAGATTGGGAAAAGATTGTTCTAACAAAGTAATTATATCTAGAACATACAGATAATTGAAAAAATCTGATGCACAATAATTCAAATCCCAGTTTAAAAATGGGATTCAGAAATCAATGCATAATTCTCAGAAGAAGAAATATAAATGGCAAATAAATATATGAATATATGAAATATATGAAAAAAGTTCAACATATTTGGCTATTCAAGAAATGCAAATTAAATAAAAACATTAAGAAATTATCTCACTCCAGAAACCAATAACAAATGCTGGAAGGGCTGTGGGAGAAAAATAAGTACTTCTCTATTG